AAGCGCAAGCTTCCCTGCCAGTCCTACGCTCCAGCTGCAAAGCCAGGACGCCCGTGGGTGGGGCCTGGGGTTCACCAGCTGTCGGAGCCAGGCCCTTGCGCACTCGAACCTGAGAACTACAACGTCATGGACCTCAAGTTCCCCGGGCCCGCTCACCAGGTAGCGCCCACCCACCTGCACCCGAGATTGTTATAACGGGGCTGTTGTGCCGCCTCCTGGGGACCCTCTGGGAAAGAGGGGGACCGAGAAAGGAAGGGAAAAGTCGGTAAGTCTGACAAAAGTCCCCTTCAGCAAACGCACGGAAATGGTGGAGTTAGAAACTCACCCTCTGCGATCCCCAGAAAAAGCACAGACCCAGGGCAAAAGCAGCAGGGACCTTGCACTTCTTAGAAGAAGATGATGGGGAACAATCTGTTCGTGGTGTCAAGCGGCCCAACCAACATCGCTTGTGAACTGCAAAGGGAAAAAGCCCTGGGAAATACTGGATGGAGTACAGGTGCCAACCCAGAAGTTTCCACCTGAATCCAGGCTAATCAACTAAAGGCATCTCATCGGTCATTTGTACTGGGCTTCTAGTTTGGAGTAGAAGGATGAACGAAAAGTTTGCCAGGAGGGAATGGTGAGGGAAAAAAATCCAGAATGTGAGACATTCTAGGACTTTTAACAAGTCGATGTCAGAACAACAGCAACAACTAAGCTGGCAGACCGTTGTAAACTAAAAGGCATCAAGGAAACATTACACCCAAATTCGGTAAATGAACTGTGATTGGATCTAGTTAGAAAAACTGGCTCCCAGAGACATATCAGAGGCCCTTGAATAAGAACTGGATGTTAGATGTTTTCATAAAGAAGTGCTAGATTTTTTTACTTATGATCATAGCATTTTGAGTATGTAAGACGTGTACATGTTAAGAGTAATATTGGCAAAATATTAGCAACTGTTGAATATGGGTAGTGGGTGCACAGATAATTCCCTATTCTCTCCATTTTTTATGTTTAAATTTTTTTCATAATAAAAGTTTGAATTACATTTTAAAGAAAAGACTCGGCAGAAGTTGTCCTGCCTAAACAAAGGCCGTGAAGGAAGGGCACAGGGCTCCAAGGAGACACAGGGTTCGCATGAAGAAACCAGGCCAGTGAGGAAGGGCGGATCCTTGCTGCCTCCAGACCCCCTGATGGAGGGGCCAGAAAGGAAGCTGAGAAGGTCAGATAGACTTAGACGCCCGTGGTGAGGGCCTCCTGCGCCATTGGTGATCTTCCCTGTAGACCACAGAGCACCTGTAAAGGGGACAAGACACAAGCATATTTGCATGCTCAGATGGACACACCAGTTAATGCTGACAGAATGTTAAAGCCCCACCTACACGAACAGCCCCCAACAGCATCTCTGATGTTATCTCTCACTGCCGCCCCTCCAAAAAAAAAAGCAATGCTCCAGCAAGACAGAACTTTCTGCATTTCCTCTCATATTCTGACCCCCTCTCCCTTTGGGCTCACTTCCACACATCCTTCGCATCCGACCTTCAATAGAATTCATTCCACAGCCTGATCTGAGAAAATGGGTCTGAGGCTTGAGGGGAAAAAAAGAGTCAGATTCGAGAGAAATAACTAGGAGGTTGGTCTGAGTGCTTCTTTCAAAAATTTGGGTTATTGGAGGAGGGTCGAATTTGGGAAGAAAGATAGAGCGTTCCATTTGGAAAGTATGGCGTTTGAGAGGCCCGTAAAAATAGAAAAAGAAATAAGAAGGACAATTGTACGTTCTGGAACCCAGAGGAGAAATCTGGGCTGCAATGGTTTCCAGTCCATCGGCACCTACGCAGGGATTTATCCATCATGCCCAAGCCTTCTGCTCATGGAATGGACCTACTGATGAAATACAAATCCCCCACTTGTACACTAATAAAAATACTCTGTCTGATGTTTTAAAATATTTTGAGCTTTGTGAAGAGACAAGAGATAGGCTTCCGCATGGAATATTTTAATGGGTCCTCATTCTTGAATTTAAAACCAATGGTGACTATAGCAGCTGCCATTTCTCGAGCCTTCACTGTATTCCAGGCACTGCATCAGGTGTTTGAAGAAGCAGGGCATCTCTCTGTAAGGAATATCTTTGCCAGATTATTTAAAGTTATTGCAACATATCGCTGATTTGTTTTCCAGAAAAGATCCAAAGAGGCATTCTCAGCTTACCACATGCTAAAATTAAAGTTGGTTGATTCTTCTCCAGTTTCATTGACAGGACGTGATATGATACCCTTTGTCATGTCTTCTTATTGCTAAATCCTGAAGGAACGTAGAATAAATGATAAATCATAAGCTGAAGGACTCTGGACACCTTTCTTCACCTGCGGTGTTGGCTGAGTGGTTTAGGCGATGAACTAGAAATCTTTTGGGGTCTTTCTGCGGAGGTTCAAATCCTGCCCACTACAGCAGGTGGGCTTTCCAGGTGCTCTCCAACCAAAAAGGAAACCTCCAGCACTGTATCAATTTTGAGGTTTCAGGCTTCAAATTCTGGTAGCCAAAGGAAAAGCAAGTTGAAGGAAAAGAATTCATATACTCATGTTTATTTTATTTTTTTAAATTTATTTTGACTTTATTTTTTCATTCCCACTTGGCCCTGTTATACACTCCCCTCCCAGGAGACACCACACTGTTGTCCATGTCTCTGAATGCTTTTCCTTTTTGCTTGACCCCTTAACCCCCTAACTGCATTCCCAGCACATACTCATCTTTAGAACAACAAAGTAATTCTGCTACTTCCTTTTCCTAAACATGTCAGTCAGTCTTATACTATAAGACTTCAGGAGGGCCAGTGGTGCAATGGAGAACATGTCTGACTATGGGTCAGAAGAATCTCGGTTTGACACCTGCTGGCTTCAGTCTTTCTTTTCTTTTTCTCTTTTTTTTTTTTTGGTGTGTTTGCTTATGTCCTTTGAAATTCCTGTCATTCCCAAGCTTCCGTGTTGTGTATATTTTAAGGTTAATTTCATTTTTAAATTAGATGTTATATCTTTTACATAAAATGGTAAAAATGTTAATAATATCGTCTCCAGCTTATAGTTCACAACTCTTCTTTTATATACATAGATTTTCTTTAAATCTCATCATTACGTTATTTTCAACACTGACCGATCTTCAAAACACTTTCTCTCGACTTAATTTTTAAGAGTGGATATAGGTTTGCAGCAAAATTGAGAGGAAGGTGCTGATGCACAGCGTCCCCCATTATCAGCGTCCCCCATTATCAGCACCCCCCACCGCAGTGGTCCATTTACTACAATTGATGAACCTATACTGACACAGTGTAATCACTCCAAGTCCACGGTTTTGATTAAAGCTCACCTTTGCTGTTGTACATTCCATGGGTTTGGACAAATGCACGGACACATATCCATCTTTACAGCATCATGCAGGGTGTACTCATTGCACAGAAAACCCTCCGTGCTCACCTGTTCATACTCCCTCCCGCACACCCCTGCATTTTACTGTCTCCATGGTTTTGCTGCAATGTGCCTCCTTTCAGATGGGCTTCTTTCGTTTATTAATATGCATTTAAGTTCCCTCCACCTCTTTTCATGATTGGGTAGCTCACTTGTGTATGAAGATGAATAATATTCCACTGCCTGGGTGTGTGAGTTTATTTCTCCGTCACTGAAGCGTATTTGCTTGCATGCAAGTTTGGGTTATTATGAGTAAAGATGCTCTGAACAGCTGTGGGCGGGGGTCTGTATGGACATAAGTGTCAAGTCCTTTGTGTAAATGACGAGGACTGCAATGGCTGGATCTTGTGGGAAGAGTTCGTTTGCTTTTCTGGGAAACCAGCAAACTGTCTTCCCAGTGGCTGCACCCTGTTGCCTTCCACCAGCAGTGACTGAGGGTTTCTGTCACTACACCCTGGCAGCATTTGATGTTGTCAGCGTTTTAGATTCTGGACATTCTAATAGGTGCGTCTGGTATCTCATTGTTGTTTTAATTTGCATTTCTCTTGTGACATTTTCATATGCTTACAGGGGGGGGTTAAAGACTTAGTCACCTCACTACAGAAGATATGCAGATAGTAGACAGCGAATTTTGTTGGGTTTTTATTTTATGTAAAAAGGTTGTTAGCCTTTTTATATAAAGGTAAAAAGTGGGGAGGGAAGACTGGATGGAAGAAGGTGAAGGGATTAGCCAAGAAACCTACATGCACGACCCACAGACACCGTGGACAGGGTGGGGATGGTCAGAGGAAAGGGGGATGGTGAGGGCAGGGTGGGGGAGGGGGAGGAGGCAGGTGGGGGCATCTGTATGCAAACAATAAAACACGAAGCACCTGCGCGTGATTTAAAGACTCACACATTTCACAAGATTTATGACTTGTAACCCAAGGGAAGGTTCTCTCTTGGCTCCCCGTTCTAATGGTCCCCATGGTAACTGTGAGAGCAGCCTCGTACTGGGGCAGATCTGTTCTGGACAGAGAAGCAAAAGGACAACCTAGCAGAGGATGGTTTCGATCCATCGACCTCTGGGTTATGGGCCCAGCACGCTTCCGCTGCGCCACTCTGCTGCCGTGACCACAGACCTCGTAGTTAATATTCAGATTGTTTTTAGTTTCACTTGGGTCTTTTCCAACTTTCAGAACTAAATGGTTTTTTTCCTCTCTTTTTCCAGATCAGTGATCTGTCCTTCGCAATACGAGTAATACGACAGCGGTGGACTCGAACTTCTAAGAAGAGAGTTAATAAGAAACAAGGCGCAGAGGCCCAGTGAGCGACCCCGTTCCCGGGCGAGCGGGCGCATGCGCGTTGCACCGCACCGAACGTGCAACTAACGTCCGCTCCGCCGTAAAGTCTAAAGGAGACAAACTGGAAAACTCCGGTGAGCTGCGCGTGCGCCTTCGCTCCTTCCGGGCTGCAACGTGGTGGGTGGGGCCTAGTCCCTTGGGGGAGGGGCGCGTTCTGGAGGCACAGGTGAGCGGGAGAAACGCACATTTCTTCACTTAAAAAAATAAATAAAGACTTATTTAAACACGGGTTGCTTATTTAAACACGGGCTAGAAGAACCGCGGGACCTTCTAGCCCAGAGGACTGACACCAGTGCACCAGCTCATCCCCTATAATCCGAGCCTGCGGGTGCGGGTTCTGCCTGCCGGTTGGTTACCTGTCTGTCCCGCACGGAGGGGCGGGCTGCGGGGCAGGCCCCCCGCATGGTCTGGGTCGGTTCCGAGACGGCGGCGGCCGGGCCCCTCCAGCACAGAAGTGAGTGTGGAGGGGGGAGCCCGGGAGGGTTGGACGGGCTGGTGAGGAGTGAAATGCAGAGTGTTTGCCATAACAGAGCTCACCAAACGTCTCCACGGACCCAGAAACAGGCCCTTCGAATTCAATAACAGTGTTGTATGTTGTGCATTCTCGCCTGTTTACTCACTTTGTTGAGGTGTTTAAGGAGGGTGTCCAAGGTCAGGGAAAGAAGGAAAGGCATGTTTCTGTTTCTGCATAGGGTTTAACTTTACAGACCAACGCCCTCACCCCAAGGCAGTAAAAAAGGGGGGGAAATGCAACCCAGCTGACCCCGACGTGATTTGAACACGCAACCTTCTGATCTGGAGTCAGACGCGCTACCGTTGCGCCACGAGGTCTCCCAGGGCCTAGCCTCCTGAAATCTGTCCACCTGGTCTATGGGATTCGTGTCTGGTATTTGGTGCGCACCGCGCAGCTGGATGGAGCCGTGCCTCGCTCCCTCCTCCAACCAACCCCTGATTCTCTCTGCTGCCGACTTGCTTCTATTTGCACTTCTTCGGATTCTGTTTCATTCCTTTTCTTACCAACTCTTCTCCGTATTTACACCAAAGAAAAAAATAGACACTTTGAGGACTTCTGTTGTTTTTATCGGTCGCTCCGGAGTAGCGTGGGGAAGGGTAGGGACCTGGGGGAGGGGCACGTTGGAGGCGGGCAAACTGGGGTTTCTGAAAATAAACAACCAAGGGCTGAGGAGGACCCTCAGCCTCTCAGAGAGGAAGGGATCTGCAGAGTGGGTGCTGCCAGAAGATGACCATCTGTTGAGGGAAAACTGGAATCTGTACTTTCCTCATCGACCTCATAGGCTTGCTGTGAGTTTACAGGTGCAGTGTGCCTACCCGGCACAGGGGGAGCTCTCTGCCCGTAAACGCTGGTGTAGTTACTGCTAGGAAGTTTGCAGAAATTCTTACGTGCATTTTTGCCCACATTGCCAGCCTGGTTCAGCAGAGATGGTGGTGCAACTTCCATTTGTCAGTAGTTAACTTCTTCCATAGATAGAGTGGTTGATGTTAACAAAGATAATTGGCTTATTTCAGATGTTAGAATTATTCTTTTTTTAAATAAGGAGGAAAAAAAAGGAAACAAAATATGGCCCCTCCTTAAATTAAAATGCGTAAAATAAGCTGCAAAATTTATTCTCAGGAGCATTTGAGCTCTTGCCCCCATAGCCCAAGTTATCAGTTTGGCTCAAATAAACTCAGTGCTGGCGCGCACACCAGCACCCGAAGCATCACTACTCTTGTGCTTTGGGGCCGGTATTAAGTAAAATAAGGGTGACTGAACACCAGCGCTGTGATACTGTGACTGTCCATCTGTCACAGAGATGCTCTCAGTGACTGACCCGGAGGCGGGGAGGTCCGCAGGGCAGATGGGTCGGAATAAGGGTTGGTGTGTGAGGGCGCAGGACGGTGCAGACTGCACAAGATCTCATGATGCTGCTCAGAGTGATGTGAAATTTAAAACTTATGAATTGTTTATTTCTGGAATTTTCCATTTAACACTTTCCTACAAGGGTTGACTGAAGGTAACTGAAACTTTGTAAAGTGAAACCCTGGATGTGAGGTGACTGCTGTGCAGACAGAGAGAGGACAGCTGTGCGGTGACCCTGGGACAGCCCGTGCAGGGCGCCTGGGGGTGCTGAGCTGCAGCTGATGGAAAGAGGTGGGGAACTGGGGGAGGGAACAGGCAGAGGGAGAGGTGGGGAGGGTGGGGGGCAAACAGAAAGATGACAGGGGGGCACAAGGAACAGAAAGGAACTGACTCAGAAATGACAGTTCAGGTGACACTCTGTCTCCACTGCAGGTGAGGACCGGTCTCAGGACTATGCAGGTGAGTGAGTCTGCTGCTCTCTGGTTTCCTGGCTCCTGTGTGGGAAGTAATTAAACCATTTCCCTGCTGGGTGAGAAGTAACCACATCAAGCTCAGAGGCTCATTTTCTGTGGCTGAACCACCCCCTCCTGTCTGAACACGCAGAGAGGACTTTCCAGATGCAGTGTCCCCTCACCCTGCTGACACACACACCCACACCTGGCACAGCCTGGTCAAGTCCCCATGGCCCCAGCCTGATGGACACAAGCCCAGCACTGGGAGAGGTTTCAGCCTGGTCCACAAGCTGTAGACGAGGCGAGTGGACATTGGAGGAGACTGAGGAGAGGAGAGAGAAGGGGCTCAGTGCGGACAGTGGGTGGGGGAGGACAGAAAGAATGACCTTTCCTTGTCTGTGTCTCCTCCTTCCAGAGTGGAAGATGGCCCTCTTCCAGCCTGGTGAGTGGATCCCTCTGTGTCCCCAGGACAAACCCTCAAGGGCCGCTGCTCCCTCTTTCCTCTCCGAATTTTGACTGGGATGGTTTTGGGTTGTGACCTGAGGTGATGGTCTCAAAGGTGTGCCCACCAGCTAAGAGCCCAGGGACCAGGGACAGGGGCTGTCCTGGGGTCCACAGGTCTGTGTGGGAGGAAGAGGCAGGAGGGGTGGGGCTGGAGGGAGGGGCTGTGGGGAGGAGGGTGTGACCTGACCAAGCTCCTGCCCCTGCTGCTGCCACTTGTGTCCTCCAGTTATGGCGTGTTCCACAGTCACACCTACTCTGTGAGAGTTGGGACATTCTCCACGTCTGCACCCCCAGGCTGCGCTCCGTCCCCCAGCCCTACCCTGTGACTGGTCCTTGGAGCTATGGAGCCAGCTGCTCCCCTGCACGTCCCCCTGCCTCGCCCGCTGCTCTTCCTCCCCATCCTCGGCTTGTCTGCACTGGTCTCAGGTAGGGGGCGCCCCGACTCCACACCCCTCCGTGCCTCGTGTTCACTCCTCCTCATTCCGCTGGAGTTAGCTCAGATCAAACCAGCCTCACCCAACACAAAGGCAGAAAACCAGAAATGACCAAAGCACCATCATTCAAACTTTTCATTAATGTCAATGATTAATGAGACATTTAACTCTCTTTTATTCCAAAGTTTCCCATTGTCTCTGTGGGTCCTACCTGGACCACACGTGTCCGTGGGGACGAGCTGGTGGCTGCCTGTTGGACAGCTCCGGGTTAAGCTGAGCTCCCGGTGCCCAGCTGGCCTGGGGAACAGGAGGAAACCTCTGCGCTCCCAGGGTCTGCAGAGGCTCAGGGTCTGCCCCTCTGTGCTGCTGGCAGCCGTGGTAGAGACGCATTAGGCATCTCTTGCTCTGACCAGCCACAGCCGGGCCCCCACAATCCACAATCCTCAGCCCAGGAACCCCTGGCCTGTCCCCTGGAATGGCCACGTTCTTTCCTGCCTTGAGCGTCAGTGCCTGCCTGATTGTGCCACTTTGTTGAACAGCCCAGTTTTCGGTCGTGGGTCCAGCTGAGCCCATCCTGGCCATGGTGGGAGAAGACACCATGTTAAGCTGCCACCTGTCGCCTGAGAGAAGTGCCGTGGACATGGAGGTGCGCTGGTTCCGGGCTCAGTTCTCGCCCGCCGTGCTGGTGTACAAGGGCCAGCGCGAGAGGACAGAGGAGCAGATGCATCAGTACCAAGGACGGACAACCTTCATGATCGAAGACATTCACAAAGGGAAGGTGGCCCTGGTCATTCACAATGTCACGGCCCGTGACAACGGCATCTACCGCTGTTATTTCCAACAAGGCAGGTCCTATGACGAGGCCATCATGCGCCTGGTGGTGGCAGGTGAGACGTTTCTCTTCTTGGGTGGCTTTATCACTGTGTAACCCTTGGGGATAGTTTCTCTCTGCACTTCAGGCCCCTCACAGACCAGCAGGTTTTGTCCAGCCTCCCCTCTACCTGGCAGAGTGGCTCCCCCTGCCTGAGGGCCGAGTGAGTGGGTGTGTCCCTCAGAGCTGTGGGCATAGAGTCTTGAGAAGCACAGTAAGCTCAGGGGGACCCGTGAGCAGGGAAGAAGGTGGAACCCCGCAGAGTGCACCCCTGCTGGGGTTCAGAAATCTCTCAGGCTCCTCACCAGTAACATGTGTTGGAATGAGACATTTTAGACTATTTGTCTGTTCCCAGGTGTAGGGTCTAAGCCCCTCATTGAGATAAAGGGCCAGGAGGAATGGGGCGTCTGGCTGGAGTGCACCTCCACAGGGTGGTACCCACAGCCCCATGCAGTGTGGAGGGACCCCTATGGTGAGATCATGCCCGCCCTGGAGGAAGCTTACACCGAGGACACAGATGGCCTCTACAGGGTCACCATGACCGTGATTGTCGAGGACAGCTCTGTGAGGAATGCATCCTGTTTGGTGAACAACACCCTGCTGGGCCAGGAGAGGGACACTGTGGTCTTCATTCCAGGTTAGTTCCCTGCCCTCTGGGGGCCTGTCCCTTGGAGGTAGTAGGACCCTCAGCAGACACTTGGAGCCTGAGTGGGGCTGGGGGAGGGGCAGGGCTGGGAGGGTCCTGGGCCCTGAGGGAGCTGAGGCTGCAGCTGAGCTGAGGCCTCTCCCCTCCTCACAGGGAGCATCACAGTCTCCTGTCCCAGGAGGAGGAGCCTCCTCTCTGAGGGCCAATCTGATCGTTTTTCCCTCCTGTGGTCCTGATGCTGCAGCTGTTTGTGTGTTCAGAACAGTCACACACCGTGGAGCGTGGTGGGGGCAGGGGGCTGTGTGCACCTGGTGCTGCTGATGCTGAGGCCTCCCCTCCTGCCCAGAACTAGGACAGTCAGTACCTACACAGAACTAGGACAGTCAGTACCTACACACACTCATAAAGTCAATCAACGAACACTTAGCATGGATCACATATGTTGTAGGCACTGTTCTAGAAACAGGAGATAAATCAGTAAAAATATGCATGAAGATCCCTTCACTCATGGGGCTCTCCTTCTAGAAAAGCAAAGTGTATCTATAAAACAACTAAGCCAGGAGTAAAATAATTCATTAAACTAATATAGTAGAGGGGAGAAATGCTGTAGAAAAATTAATTGGGAAAGGATATATGGAGGCTCAAAGCAGGGGAGCAGTGATGGAACTAGAGGGTGAGGGAGGCTTCACTGAAAAGGTGGCACCAGGGCAAGTGAGGGAGGAGCAGGAGGAGCAGGAGGAGCAGGCGCCCAGGGCCTGAGGCAGCAGCAGGTCTGGCAGTTTCAAGGAACCCGACAGGCAGGTGTGGGTGGAAGGACTGAGTGCAGGGGGAATGGGAGGAGGGGAGTGCAGACCTGGAAGGGGCCCAGACCAGAGGAGTCAGAGCAGGTCACAGGGAGCCTTCGGCTGAGTCTCAGTGAGGCAGGAGCCATGGCTGGGATTGGAGCAGAAGCAGGAAGGAGGGTGGTGCAGTAACCAGGCCACAGTGATGGTGGCTCAGGGGGGCTGGTGACAGTTGTCGGTTTTTTTCATCCTGGTCCTTCCAACAGTGACTGCAGAGGCGTCTACTCTTTTGCCTCCTCAGCCCTGTCAACTGACAAAACCAGAACTGTTCAGTGACCCGCTGACATCCTTTGTTTAAGGGAAAGCCACCCATGGATTGGGGGCTGCAGGGCCTCACCAGGAGGGCAGCCTCTCCCTGAGAGAGTTGGGGCTACGGGAAGGGTTTTAGAGGCAGACAGGGGCACAACTGTCTAGGGGTCAGGCTTCCTTGTGAGGCAGCTGCTCCTGTTTGTGGGGGCAGGTGGGTGCCTGAGTTGGTGGGAGGCTTTCTCTGGGCGTCTGTCAGTCTCCTTGACAACGGGGTGTTTCCAGTGCCCCCAGCAGATGTCAGTGCAGATTTGCTATGTGGGCCACAGGGGTGGCCTGTAGGCTGGGTCCACGGATGCGAATTGTCCTCATCAGTGCCCCCCGCCCCCCCCCCCCGCTGTGGTCCCCACTGTGGTTTCTGAGATGGAAGAGGCCAGAGCAGGGACCCGAGGGAGCTCCTCAGAGGTGCACCCAGGGGCGCTCTCGCCTGGGTCCCCCTTGTCTCAGTAACGGGGACTTTTGTAGTCTTTGTTCCAGAAGTATTGGTCATCCCCAGCGCGCCTGCCTGGGGGGTGGCCCTGGCTGTCCTCCTGCCGGCTCTGCTCTTCTTCATCATCGTCGGGATCATCGGCCTCTTCTCGAAACGCCACAAGGAGAAAGAAACTCTCTCACTGGAAAGAGATTTTGAAGATAAAGAGGAAGAAACTGCACGGAAAGAACTGGGTAAAGAACATGCGGGGAAAGAGAGAGAGCGTCTAATGGGAGGAAATACGCACACGAGGGCAGGAGCTGTCTTTCAAAGGCACAGCCTGGGCAGCTGGAGCCTGGGGGACAGGGGACAGAGCAGATGGCAGCCAGGCTCGGAGTTTAGTGCCTGGTCACTAAGTCCTCCAACTTGCTTCTGCCCCCCCCCCCAAATGTGGCACCCACTCACCCGGCAGGTACAGAGAGCGCGGTGCTGCTGAAGGAAAGCCAGCCTCCATAGGCACTGATACCAGCCAGGCTCGTGGTCCTGCATCAGGACCAGTCCCTGCATGTCGGGGAGGGGACCGTGACTTCACAGGGAGGCCTAGGCCTCAGTTTCACACAGACTCAAATTCACAATTCTCTGTGGAGGACACGCCTTTGTTTCTGCTCACTTTGCAGAGCAACTTCAAGAAGAATTGCGTAAGTGTAGCATTTCCCCAAAGACCCCACACACGATGTCTATTCTGCTGGTTGCTCCTGTCTCATGCAGCTCACTCCCTCTCTGCCCTCACAGGGTGGAGAAGAGGCCTCTTGCATGCTGGTGAGTGTCTCTGACATCCCCTCATATCCTGAGCGCCGTCCCCACTAGCCAGCCAAGGGGACACATGACCTGAGAGGTACAGGAAGCCGCAGTGATGGGACAGGGAAGGGGCCTGTTCACTGGCAGCATCTTACCCAGCGTGAGGACCCCAGCTCTCCCCACAGGGACTTCCCAGGGCTCTTGTTCAACTCTGGGCTTCCTTAGCCACCCCTCTGCCCACATTAAAAATAAATAGAATTTCATGCACAATCATCTGGTCAAGCAGACAGAGTGAACTTCCCCAAAGTTCACAGTTCACTATCTGTTGCTCTTGGCCCCTGGATTAGCCCAAAGAAGACAGTGCACAGCCAGGTGTAACCTGGGAGAAGGTAGAGCGCAGTGAGGAGACGCGGGGGACAGCAGTGGGCTGCCCCGAGCCTGGCTCAGGGCTGGACAAATCGATGCCAGGAATGCCTTCCTGCCCCAGGAGTGCCCTGATGCTGGCAGTGTGCAGCCTGCAGGGCCAAGGACAAGGCCAGGGCCAGGGGGAGCCACAGCATCCTCTTCCTGCCCCCGATGAGCACCCAGCATGTGTGACCCATCCCCTTCTGTTCCAAGGGAGCAAAGCCCCAGGCTTCACCAGACACCATGGTGCTCGCACCTTTCCACTTCAGGTGAATCTCAGAACTGTCACCGTCGCACACAGCAAGGTGGGGAAAGGAGAAAACCCTGTTCCCACAGTGGACGTGCAGGGGGCTCGGTGACACACCTGCAGGTGGGCAGGTCTGTGGGACATCAGGGTCTGAAGCATCTCCTGTCCCCAGATGGTGGCTCCAGACCCAGGCACTAAAGCAAGGCTGCACGGAAACACTTCCCCAGCATCTGTCCCCAGATGCGCCTCTCAGGTGGCCGATTGACTCTTAGGGACATTGTCCTTTCCTACCCTCTGAAGAGAGCCCTGTTAGTCCCTTAAGTCATATGTCACCTGGAGAAACTGGTGGAAAACACAGGGCCAGTGAAGGGACCCTCCACTGCCCAGCATCTGTTTTAGAAGAAGTGGCCTGAGTGCTTTACTGAGAGGGGGAGGGAAAGGGTCTCTGGGGTTTGAAGCCAATTTGGAAAGTTTGCAACTGAAAAGATCCTTTGTCATGTAGAGAAAAATGTGCAAATCCGAAAATGTGGTCAGGAAGTGGGAGATGTTAACTTCAATATTGGACTGAAAAAGCTTTGAAGATATATTTATTTATATATGTTTAAATGATAGTGATTAAGTGATCACATGCTAATGCGAATAACATGTTCTGTGAAAAATAATGTTTTTGGAAAACAAAATTAATGCTACGGCATTGTTCAATTTGTTTTGTCTGGCTTAATGGAAGACTGGATGTTCATATCTGTTCATGTGAGAACGTGGAACCCTGTAGAGTTTATGATAGTTAACTTGAGGCAAACTGACGTCATAGTCGGGGGAAGGTCTGAATGGTCTGGAGAGTGACAGGTGTGCAGCTTCTCTCCGCGTGTGGTCAGTCCCTCAGTGGGGGGGACGTGAGGATGCCGGGAAGGAGAGAGAAAGGAGAGAAAACAAGACCCTGAGCTCCTTGGAGGGCAATCACTCTCCAAGGGGTCTGAAGAACAGGGTGACTTCTGGCCTCTCAGATGTAGGTTAATCCGGGTGCCCGAGGACAGTGGACAGGGTTTGCTTAAGGTGAGGAAAACCTCTTACTAAAGAGGTATTGGCCTGGGGCCTCACTCCCACCCTGACCTGCCCAGTTACAGATTTGTGGTCAGATCACCCCATGAGGTCATTGTGGTCACTGGTTTGTTCCAGATCCTTCTTCACTTGCAGCACCAGAGCCTGGAGAATGCAACAGACTGAGAGGCATTTCAAAATTCAAAGTCAAGATAAACAGATAATTCTGGTTTCACTTTCTGCTTGGGGAATTTACTTTGTGAGAATACCCTTCTTCCTTATTTGGGCATTGACTGTCCCTTCTCAATATCAACCCACAGGCAGGGACTGTCACTGTGTGTCCTGTCTGTGGCTTCCCTGGAAGCCCTCACCTCCAACCCTGCTCTTCATCTGACCCCAGGCAGAGCTCCCCCAGTGAGAGCAGCCTTTTCTTCAGGGGCAGTTGGTGAAAACACTTGGGGGCAATGATTTAACTTGCATCTGCCTGAGATGGTTGGTGCTCAACAGTTGGAGGTAGAGAGAGGCTCACCCCTGCCTTGAGCAGCCACCCAGGGCAACCCTGAGCCTCTGTCCCCAACCTGCCCCCTCCCCACCAGGTCCCTCTGCTGTGGCTGCAGCTGGCCCAGTCTCTCTGCTTCTCCAGTAGTGACTCTGTCTGCAGGGCCTGTGGCCTAGAGAACTGGGGCTCCTCCCCCATTGTTCTACAAACACAGCCATGCAACCCCTCTTCCTGCAGAATGGCAAAGGCTCAGTTGTATGCAGGGGGTGTCTCCTCACCTCCCTGGGACTCTGAGCTCCCAGCCTCATGGCTTCAGAGCCTCAGGATGCACAGAAATGGAGACAGTGAGGGTACCTTTCTGGTGAGGACAGGGAGGAGAGGTGGTGATCAATTGTCCTCTTCTCCTAAGGAGACCAGCAAGGCTCTTTGACTCTGTCCCTGCTTTTGGCTGACCTATTATTTCTCCTTCCAGAAGTACCTTGAAGGCTCACTAATCTATTGGTGATGATTGTAAATAAAGTTTTGTGTGGGGGTGAAGGGGGGCAGTGTAGGAGTCAGGGGCAGGGAGTGGAGACCAGTGTGCAGGTAAAACAGGTCTTCTGAGGAGACTGACGATCCCTAGCATGGAGTCTCATATCTTTGGGGAAAAAGAAATGCCTTGTGACTCACGTTCACTGACACTCAGTCTCTCCATATTCTCCTCCTCCCCCTTCCATTTCCCTTCTCTCTCTCTCTCTATTTTTATCTCTATCTCCTTTTCTCTGTCTTTCTCATATACACATGCACATACACCCTCACCTGAAGGTGTTGATCCTAGGAGATTCCGTGCACGTGAGGACCTGGATTGTGGGTCAGTCCTAGTTCGAGTGATGAATCGGGATGAGTTGGGGGCACAGAGAGAGCATGGTTCTCCCCTGGGGTTATATCAGCTTGGGTTTGACACAGACCAGGTGCTTTTTCAAAATGGCTGCTCAGCCCTGGAAGGTGAGGCTCAGCTGTTTGGAGCATCGTCCCCACACACCAGAAGGTTTGGGGTTTGATTCCTGGTCAGGGCACTTACCTAGTTGAGGGTCTGATCTTCCACTGGGGTACTTATGGGAGGCACCCAATCAAGGCTTCTGTCTCACATTGGTAGTTCTCTCTCTCTCTGCTATCCTCCCTCTCAAAAATCAAGAAAGGTACTTTCAAAATCCTAATATAGACAGTCAACTTCCCAAGATATCACAGACTTTTCAGTGGGTCCACCCCCTAGTTAGACTGATGAGCCTCTCTGTTCATTCTCCTCTCCCTGCTGCCTGCAACACTCTGGTACAGGAGGGGGTGGAGGAGGGCTGGTGCCCTTGGAGGAGCAATGCTGTGCTCTCTGGGGGAGAAGCTGTGGCTTCCTGGTGAGGGAAACAGGTGTATACTCCCCACTTTAAGAAGCCGATTGTCTCATTTCCTTCTCTCCCCTTCTTATTAATAACTAGGGAACTCCCCACAGTAACTCTGTGTGGTTACTCTCAGTCTCTGAAGTGGTGGGCTTCGCCATGCAGGCCTCCCCTGAGCTTGCCAGGTGTAGAAAGTGGCCCCTTTATTGTCCACAATAGGTGCCAATAAACTACAAGAAAATTCTTCTCTCTGGACTAGGCATCTGGAGCTTTTATTATTATTATTATTTAAGGGCTGGATATACAGATTTTTGACTTGGAGGACCATGCAGTTCCTGCCACAACCCCTCTTGTAATCCAGTCTTAGATGAATGTGTTACCCTCATTTTCTATCTTTCTTTCCTGATATAAGAGAATTCGGACCAGGGACACTGATTAAAGCAAAGGCAGACTCACTGAGACACCACAGAGGAGGAGAACCCTGAGCTGGGGCTTCGGGGTCCCTGCCCCACATGTGGGGTGAGGGGTTTTTACTCCTTGGGAACAGAAGTGCTGGGATTAACCAGTCCAAGTGTAGGTTGGCCAGCTTTTTTTTTTAACACAGGGGTTCTACTTGACTCAGTCTACGTGTCAGTAAAGCAGGGCATTCTGGGATTGTGTAAGACTTATTATGGGATGCAGGAAGGAGCTATTTCAACCAGGTACCGAGTTTCTGGCCTGGATTGTGGCTCAACATCAGATCTGGAAACAAACGTAAAAGCCGTCAGGGTCACTGCTGGACCAGGGCTTAGAGGTGCCCGTTGGTGCTGCAGTAGCTCTGGCAGGGCCGGATCCAGGGAGCACTTTGTGGGAACTTCGTTTTCCTCCTGGTTCTACTGGATTGGGTGCATCCCAGTGAAACCTTACCTGTGGGTGCTGACATTCCCATTTCCTGTAGCTGTGACTTGTCTCCGAATAGTTTGTGGATCCCCCCTGTCTCCAGGAAAGAAAAAGTGACTAGAAGTACTAATGATACCACCTCATCTCAAACTCAGTGCTTTCTGTTCAATGAGAAAAGTCTGTATTGTTTTCCCCAATAACACGGTCTGACACCCCAGGGTGTGGCTGGAGAGCTGAGAGCTTCTGAACATGAAGCTTGTTCTCCCACCCCTGCTGCCCTGAGGAATGTGGGTCCTTTCCCTCCCCATCACTCACGTGACAAAGGTCAGATGAAGGGTGCCTAGAAGAGAGGAGAGAGATGCAGCAGGAGTCCTGTAGCTTCCAGCCCAGGAATGGAGACACCCATGGAGCTGGCCAGGTGGACCTGCAGCCTGGACTCCACCTGCATCAGCCCAGCCCAGGCGAGCCCACTGGACCAGCTGTGCCCAGTGTGCTTCAGACTGACAGCGGAGAAAGAAAATGTGCACAGAGTCCCTGAGATGCTGGGTGTTTGCTTTGAAACACGATTGCAATAGACTCTCTGGAGGCCACAGGCCACGGGTAGACCCTGCTGGCCCCAAAGTCCCCTAACAGACACAGCCTCTCCTGTCCAGCCTCAGAGGACACAGACCCTGCAGGAGAGGAGTGAACACACCTGGAAACCCACGTGCAGCTCAGATGCGGCACAGAGGTGAGTGGGCCTTCTCAGCATCGCCCCACATGAACTTCTCTGAGAAACGCGGAACCTGCCCATCGTCCCCTGACAGCACCGCCCGTGGGAACTGGGAAGAGTGCTGCTGGGAAAGGACCTGAGACCTGAGTGTCCCAGGAGCCAGGACAGGTGGCGGGGGTCTGTGCCCTCCCTGTCACACCTTCAGTGGGCTCTGCTGTCAAAGGCGTTAGCAAAGGACCACAGTGACCCTTTACTTCCTGCACCCCTTCCTCTCCTCACACATTGTCACGTGCTAATTTGTCTGAAGCAGGTGTACACAGGAGATCCTGCTCACACACACCCACACCCAGAGGGGATTCCAGCAGTGGACCACACAGAGAGACGCAGAGGGTCGGAGTCAGGGCTGGGGCTGGTTTACATCTCTCCTTCTAACACAAAGTCCAAGTTCATGCCTAACTAGCCTCTGGGTGTCCACCCAGCAACTGATAAGACACAGGGCTCTGAGCCACTCAGCAAACCAGTGTTTCCAAGAGGGACTTTGCTCTGTTTCTCCCAGCAAAGAAGCTTTTTTGGTCCCCACCCTTCCTTCCAGGTCAAAGACTAACCTATGATAGAGAACCATGAAGTGCCCCTGCTCTGTGACTCTCAGCTGGGAGAGCCGAGGGTAATTGGAGGGAGCTGGTGAAAGCCAGGCCCTCTTAGGAGGGAGGCTGAGAAGCTGGGGGAGCCTGCAGGTGTCCCTCACCCAGAGAAGGAGTGTGGCCCTGTGAGCCTGCAGGTGAGGGCACAGGGGGAGCACGCAGCCAGGGCAGGTGAGTCTGTGCTGGGAAACCTGTGGGAGGGAGTCACCCGGGACCACGATGCTGGACACCTGCCCATCTCTAGAAACTTCCTGAGGTCAGAGAGGACAAAGACCCCTCACAGTGTCTCCTGCTCATCCCAGAGAGCACGTTCCTAGATATTGGAGAAGAGAGATGGATACCAAACCCAGGTTGGGCTGCCTGGTGCTCATAAGCCAATAATGGAGAGACAGGGACTGGTGGGAGAAAAGCAGGTCTATTCAAGGGTCTGCAGATTGAGAAGGTGGGGATCCCACCTGAGAATTGGACACAGGGAGGTATTTTTGTAAGGAGAAAGGAAAAAGGGAAAAAAAACTCAGCAAAGACATAGAAAGGAGGGTGTTGGGAGTTTGGCATCAAAGGTTCGGTGAGCAAACAACACAGTCTGTTCCGATGACTGGGTGAGGCCAGCAAGTCTCCAGAACTGAATGTCTGAAGCCAGAGAAGCTTCTTTTGAAATTAGTGTCTAGAATTGTAAAGCAAACGGCTATTTATTTGTGGTCACATATATCTTAGCAGGTAATCACTTAGGGAAAAAAAGTTAAAATGCTGGGGTGTGTTATAATGTTTGTGCCTTAGAGATTTACATGTAAAAATGTTTATTACAGAATTGTTGATAACATAGAAAAATCTGAACCGATCACATACACATCAGTTGGAAAATAGATCAACATCACATCATCTGAGCAGAGAGGCAATTTCCATTCCTGTGTCTGCTGACCTTGCACACCTCCTCTGTGGAGAATAGTCTAGTGCGCACTTTTTAAACCAAATTATTTGGGTTTTTAGTGTTAAACTGTCTGAGTTCTTTATAAATTCGAGGTATTAATGCTTTATTGGACGCATCATTGGCAAAAACCTTCTTCCATTCAGTAGCTTGTCTTTGTTCTGGTGATGATTGCCTTTGCTGTACAAAACCATTTTAGTTTGAGGGGGCCCCATTTGTTCCCTTTTCCATTTGTTACTCTTGCCCGAGGAGATGTGTCCATATTCCTGAGCGGTGTCAGACAGTTTATTGCTCATGCATTTTTTTTACTTTCATGGTTTCAGGTTCTACATTTAAAGGCTTACTCCATTTTGTTTTTATTCTTGTACAGGTAGAAGGAAATGATCCACTTACACTCTTTTGCAGACAGTTGTCGAGTTTTCCTGACATATTTAAGGGACTGTGTTGTTTTAAGAGCGGGGTGACCGTTGTCTGTTCCTGCCTTCTTTGTCATAAATTAATTCATCAATGTGTGAGGGCTCCTTTCTGGGCTCTCTGTCCTGTCTCACTGGACTATGAGTCGGTTCTTGAGCCGGAGCTTTGATATCAGGGAGCGCCATGCCTCCAGTTCTGTTGTTTTTCAAGGTTTCCTTGGTATTCTGGGTGTTGGTGGATCCATATGGACTTTAGGACAAATTGCAGTTCTGAGAAGAAGGCCATTGGTTTCTGCTTCTATTTAACGGGGATTTGCTGTGAATCTGACATTTTGCCCCTGTGGCTCCTCCAACCCAGGGACACAGAGCCTCACCCACTGATCTGCACCCTCTTCAGTCTCTCTCTTCCTGACTGACAGTCGTCAGGAGACAGGTCTCTACCCTCTGTGTGTAAATTTGTCCCTAGGTATTTTATGCTCTTTCGTGAGCTTGTAAAAGGGATTTCAACATTTTCCTTTTTGGATTACTAATTATTGCAGTTAGAAATGCAACTGGATCCTGATTTTGTATTCTGCACTGTTACTCAACTCATTCAGTACTTCTCATAGTCTTTAAATTTTTTTCGTGGAGTCCTCAGGCTTTTCTATATATCGTATGATGTCATCTGTAAACAGTGAGAGTTTTCCTTTCCCTTTATGGTTTGTATGCTTTTTGTTTCTTTGACTTGACTGATCACTGTGGCTAGGACGTCCGATACTGCATCAGATAGAAGGGGTGAGAGTGGACGTCCTTTTCTCATTCCTGATCTTAGAGGAAAAGCTTTCAGCTTCTCCCCATTGGGTGTTATGTCAGTTGCTGGTTTAGGAATCATGTTTAAGTACAGAGTTCTCATTTTGAATTGTAACAAATTGAACCCAATATGGGCACTCAAACTGTATGTACATTTTGCTGTTGCTGAGTTTACTATGATCAAGAGCTTTAAATATAACCCTTGGTGTTCATGCCTGATTTCCTTTCTTTGAGAGCTATTCCTGCCATTGGAATTTGTGAGTCAAAGGATAAAATATTCTTAAAGCATTTGGTACATACATGTGGCTAAAGTACATCTAGAATATTCACTTTCCTATAAAACAAAGTACAAGATTACCATCATAAATTATTTCTACTTTATCCTTTTACCTTTAAATATATATATAGTTTTTTAGATTTTATTTATTATGTTTAGAGGGGAAGGGAAGGAGAAAGAGGTAGAGAAACATTGATGTATGGTTGCCATTCGTGGGTCCCCTGCGGGGAATTGGCCTGCAGGGAACTGGCTTGCAACCCAGGCATGTGCCCTGATGGGAATAGACCCTCAGTTGTCTGGTTCCCAGTCCCACGCTCACTCCACTGAGCTACACCAGCCAGGGCTTACCTTTTTATATTTTAATATTGTCTACACTCAGAAATAAAAAACAATCAATATCCACACAAATAAGCAGAAACGTATTCCCCACTCTGAAAACTTTTAAACTTTAAAACATTCCGAGAATTCTAAGTACAGAGTGCCCAGGACTGGGCTCCTGCTCTGGATGGAATGGGAGGGGCTGAGCAGGAGGGAGGGGAGAGGTCAGGACGTCCTGGCTGCTGTGCGGAGCGTGGCCTGCAGGGGGCAGCAGAGGGACCGGTCACTCAGAGCAGAGGCGCCTGCCTTCCTCAGAGGCTGCTGCTGGGGACTGGCACCTGGCTGTTGCAGGGACCTGAGGGTGAGGGGAGGGCTTCTGAGCTCCTTCGCACAGGAGAGCGCAGGACTCCTCGGTGGCGAGGGTTCAGGTACATACATTTACCGTCCGTGTTTCAGGATGATTTCCATTTTGGAGTCCAAGGTGAAGAGACTGCCCAGGGGACATTTGCAGAGGAGGCTCTGGGTCAGCAGCCATTGGGCTTGCAACCCCTGGTCAGCCCTGGGGAGGCAGCGTCTCCATGTGGATTCTCCACCTTGCAGGTGGTCATTGCTACCAAGCCCCTCCTGGTGTCTCTCTGTCTGCACAGCAGGTAACCATGGTGAGCTGCTTGGTCCTCCCCCTGCCTGCCCTCCCTGTCTGCCTCGCTGTGGTCCAGCTGCTCAGGCCCTGCTCAGGTAGGACCTGCTCTGTGTTTGTGCATCTGAAGCCTTTACCTTTGGGCCCAGTCAGAACCCTAAACTCCCCCCTCATCCCTGCAAGGCCCATGTAGATGCACCTTTGTTAGGACCCAGATCCTGTCTAGGTGTCTCTCACCTTGTCCTCCCTGCTGGGTCACCCCCTGGTCCTCTGCTCCCAGCTTTCTCTGACAGTGCCCCTCCCCTTCTGATGAGCAGCTCAGTTTGCTGTGGTTGGACCCCCTGAGCCCATCCTGGCCATGGTGGGTGAAGACGCTGAGCTGCCCTGTCACCTGTCCCCAAAGATGAGCGCCGAGCACATGGAGCTGATGTGGGAGCGATCCAGCCCCAGGCAGGTAGTGCACACGTATGCACACGGGCAGGAGGACACGCCCGCAGCAGAGTATGGAGGGAGAACTTCGATTTTAAGGGAGGACATCACTGCGGGGAAGGCTGCTCTGCAGATTCGAGATGTCAGAGCCTCTGACAGAGGAACCTACCTCTGTTATTTCCAAGATGGAGATTTCTTTGAAAATGCCCGGGTGGAGCTGGAGGTTGCAGGTGAGTCAGGTGTGATCTGTGCTCCTTTCCTGTGGGGTCAAGGGCAGAGGCTCCAAGCCCACCTGAGAGCACTCTGGCTCCTCACCAGCACTTGCCCCCTCTTCCTCCCTCCCTGCTCCTCTGAGGTTCATGACAGACCCAGGTTGTGCCCCAGGAAGGGCTCATCCTGCATCCAGTAGAGTCCCTCATGCTGCCCCCCAGGTCTCAGCAGGGATGTGGAGGTTGGTGACAGGAAGGAAGAGGGGACCTTCTCCGCAGTGGGTGGTACACAGGTGCTTGGTTCAGTTTGGTGTTTCAGGTCATGAAAACACTTCCTGTCACCTCTCCTCTGGTTTAGGGGTTACATGTAGGGGTAAAAAAGGCACGGTTCCTGGCTGTAACTCAGCTCTCTTCCACGTCATCATTTTCCCCTACCAACAACCATAGGATGAGTGTTTCTCTATGTGATAGAACCTAAAAGGAGGCTGAGAACTCTGCTGTTAGTTACACGAAGGCTTTCCCAAGGGGACTACACAGACCTCAGCTTGGGCAGCAGAAGGACAAGTGAATGTCTCTCCCCCACATGGCAGGGTGAAGGCTCACACAGGAGAGGCAGGAAGGACTGGGGCTCTGGGCTGTGCACTGTTTCAGCTGGAAAGGAACTGCTTCCCTGCTTGCCAGGCTGGGGTGACAGTGTGTTCCTGGCAGCAGCTTGTCTGAGGTGTGGGGGAGGGGAGGGTCCTGCAGACTCTAAGGGATTTAGGAAAAACCTTGTCTGGTCTGGCCCAGATCCCTCTGGATGCACCCTGAGGGTCCAACAACAGTCAGGCAGTGGTCACTCCACAGGTCAATCTCTCCTGCACAGCTCACTCTCACTCTGGGAACAGCTCCTGATGAACGAACCCCTGCTGGGCTCATCCAGGGTGGGTGTGCCCCTCCGGCCCTCATGAGGCTCCCCATGATCAGCTCACTTTCCCTCCCCAGCACTAGGCTCTGATCCCCACATTGAAATGAAGGGCTACGAGGCTGGAGGAATCCAACTGGAGTGCTTGTCTGCTGGCTGGTACCCGCAGCCCCAAATCCAGTGGAGAGACACCAGGGGACACGGCTTGCCTGCTGAGGTGGCCACAGAGGCTGCAGACCCCCAGGGCCTTTATGCAGCCTCAGCCTCTGTGATCCTGGAAGGCAGCTCTGGGGAGGGGGTCTCCTGTGTCATCAGAAACCCCCTGCTGGGCCAGGAAAGGTCAGCCATGGTTTCCATTGCAGGTGAGTGCCCTGCCCACTGCCCTGGGCTCCTGGGTGTCCCCTGGGGGAAGGCACCCTTGTCTGCTGCTGACCTGGGTCTCTGCAGGGAACAGAAGGGACAGAGCAGGGACCTGGCGCTTCTTCCCCATGGAGGTGTTTATGTCACAGACACCTGAGGGCTAACTCCCTTGAAATGTGAAACTTTCCAGTAAAAATAAAGAAATGTCAGGAATTTTCAGTTCACAGAAAAGGAAATAACTCTCAGAGAAAAGGATTTCCAATCTCACTGAGTACAGAAACGTTCAACCAGTGAGATTGTCAACAAAACAAAGAAGGAGGTGGTTGGGAGCACATGCACCCAGCAGGATTGTGGGTAGACAGTCACTCTAGACATTTGTTGCAATTATTTGCTATATCGTTAGTATAATTTTCACAATTTCTATAGGGGTAAAAGAACATTCCTTATCCAACATACATATTTATGAGTCCAAATCCCACCTCTGGGAGTCCATCGGACTGATCAGTTTTGTGTGAAAAGTCCCATGTAAAAGGTTATTTCCTGCACCATTAACTGTTAACAACACAGTGTCAGAGACGGTGCAAGGCCCCCGCTGGGCCGTGTGTGCAGTGGGCGCTGCCCTGTGAGAGCAGACGCAGACCTGCTCCCTGTGCTGAGGTGGGAAGGTCGCCGAGACCCAGGTGAGCAGAGAGCACGACAGGTGGGCCCGCTGGTATAGAGTGCTGTCTTAAGTGCACAGAAAAATGTATGAGAATATGTTTATATATTTTTAATTTAAGCAACCCTTGCATGGCACTCACTATGTGTCAGGCACTGTGTAACCGGGCACTCGTACTGAACAGGGAACCGGGAACAGGTGGTTAAGTTACTAGGTCAAGGTCATAGAGCTAGTCAGGCTGAAGACCTGGAAGTTGAACCCAGGGCCACCAGCCCCAGGGTCATGTTCTTCATTACCAGATCAAGCTGACTCAGGAGAAACCAATCAATGGGGATGGAGGGATCAGAGAGTGCACTTGAATGACTTTGTAAGAGACATTTCAAGAAAACAGTCCTTTTATGTGACTGTAAGAATTCAGGGCCCCTTGGGAAGGGAAGGATCACTTTCTGTCCTGAGTTGCCCCTCAGGGCCAGCAGCTGATGCTTAACCGTCTGCAGGTCCATTCTTCCGGAGCGTGGAGCCCTGGGCGGTGGCCCTGGCGGTGCTTCTGCCTGCTCTGCTCTTTCTGCTGCTGGGCACCTGGTGCTTCCTGCGGCAACACAGGAAGATCCGGGCCCTGACCAAGGAGAAGGAGAGGGAGCGAACACAGAAAGAAGCAGCAGAGGCAGAGATGCAGCAGCAGAGAAGCGCCATGGGTGAGGGACACTGTAGGTGGTCTTAGCCTCCCAGCCTCAGCCAGCACACACCACAGGGGTCCTCCCCACGACCCCCTATCAGACTTTCTCTTTCTGTTCATTTCCAGAGAGCCTGCAAGCCGAGCTCAGTAAGTCCCTATCCTCCGCCCTCCTGTCCCGAGGTCCCTGGTGAAGTGAATCACCAACTCCTGGCATTGTTCCCTGCAGGTTGGAGAAAGATGCAGTACCTGGAGCGTGAGTACCCGGACCCGCACCTCAGCCTCTGTCTGCTCCGATATTTCAGCCCCTTTGCGCACCCGTAGCGGCCCAGAGGAGGAAAGGAGGACCCAGATGGGGAGCAGGCAGTGGTCTTCCTCAGTGGGGAAGGGGTTACAGGGTCTGTCCCCAGGGGGCGCTCGAGTAGGGATACCCCAGGACCCAGAGAGGAGAGGGGGCAGGGGAGGTGACTCAGTATGTGAGTGCTCCCCTGCCTGGTCGGTTGGTAAAATCCGTGATCCACTGAGAAGAAAGGCAGAAGGAGAGAGAAAAGTGTCTTAAAAATGGGAGTAGCCAATGTCACTTGTCACAGAGTTCTCGCAACTGCTGCAAAAATAGTGCCTGAAATTTCACATTAAGTGGCCCAGTTGTTTCCGGTGTAGGGAGGAAATCATACAAGTTGAGGGGGTGGATTCTGGTACACAGGAACACACACGTGTGCCCAGGCCGAGGGAATGAATGCCCAGGTACATCCAGGGTGACAGGTCACCCCTTATGCAAGGGGGGAGTCCAAGGCCCCCAGTGGGTGTGACCTCAGATAGCACCAAACCTGAATATACGAGGTTTTTTTCCCCTCCTTTTATTTTTAAACGAGATTTCTTCTTTACTTATAAGAAGAGGGGGAGGAAGGGATAAAGTGAGGGGGACAAACACGGATGCGGGGGACACACCTTGATGGCCGGCCTGTCTCCCACACTCCCCGGGGGCCCGGCCCACAGCCCAGGCCTCTGCCCTGAGCACACCACCCACTGAGCGGCACAGTCAGGGGGTTTTTCCTTTTCACATTATGAAGGCTTCTCCTTGGCCCAGCAGCACTGCAAGCATCACTGCTCTTGGACTTTGGGGTCATTCCTGGGTGAAACAGGGGTGACTGGACACCAGTGCTGTGACACTGGGACCGTCCGTCTGTCACAGATGCTCCCAGTGACTCATGGGAGAGCTGGGTGGACCTGCAGGACTCAGGGAGGATTCAGGAAGGGGCTGGTCAGAGGGGACAGCAGAGGAGGTCATCACACTTCTCAGTGTCGTGTGCGGGCGACAAGTTGTGAAGTGTTTATTTCTAGAATTTTCCATCTAATATTTCTGACTGCAGTTGACTGAAGGTAACTGAAACTTCAGAGCCTAGAGCGGGGCTGTGAGGTGACTGCTGTACAGACAGGGACAGGACAGCTGTGCGGTGACCCTGGGACAGCCCGTGCAGGGCGCCTGGGGGTGCTGAGCTTCAGCTGATGAAGAGGGGGCGGGGGGGCGGGGGGGGGGGGGGGGGGGGGGGAAAAGGGAGAAAAAAAAAATCAGAAATGACAGTTCAGGTGACACTCTGTCTCCATTGCAGGTGGCCAGTCTCAGGCCTATGCAGGTGAGTGAGTCTGCTGCTCTCTGGTTTCCTGGCTCCTGTGTGGGAAGCATGTGCAGCCTTTCCCTGCTGGGTGAGGAGGGACCACATGCATCTCAGAAGCTCATTTTCTGTGGCTGAACCACCCCCTTGACTCTGGACACTCAGAGAGGACCTTCCAGATACAGTGTCCCCTCACCCTGCTCACACACACACACACACACACACACACACACACACATTCACCTGGCAAAGTCTGGCCTTGTTCCCAAGGCCCCAGCCTGATGGAGGGAATCCCAGCACTGGGAGAGGTTTCAGCCTGGTCCGCAGAGCTGTGGACGAGGAGAGTGGACATTGGAGGAGACTGAGGAGAGGAGAGAGAAGGGGCGCAGTGCGGACAGTGGGTGGGGGAGGACAGAAAGAATGACCTTTCCTTGTCTGTGTCTCCTTCCTTCCAGAGTGGAAGATGGCCCTCTTCCAGCCTGGTGAGTGGTTGACTCCGTGTCCCCAGGACAACTCCCAAGAGCCCCTGCTCCCTCTTTCCTCTCCGAATATTAATGGGGGCAGTGCTATGGGGGGCACAGGGGCCCCCTGACTCTGTACATGGGAGAAGAGGCAAGAAATTGTTCCTCCGAAGGCTTTCCAAGCATCTGTGGAGGGTTGTGACCTGCAGTGATGGTGGTGGTCTAGTGTGTTGTAATATAAAAAAAAGGGGGAAAGGAGAAACTTTGACCCTTAATTGCCACCTAAAAAAAAGTGGCCTGGAATCGAACCTACAGCCTTAGCTTTGCAGGATGAAGCACATCCAACTGAGCTGCAGGGGTCAGGGTGGTGGAAGGCATCTGAAGACTTACAAATAGGCAGGCGACTCCTGAGACTGTAACACACTGAGTTGTGGGCTGATTCACTCTCAGGGCTCCAGGGTCAGAGCCGACAGAGGACCCCACAACCTGCATGGATTATCCACTGACTACACACCCCTCACAGCACTTTTTCACACTGTAACTCGGGCACCAATGACTGACAGGAACAGGGACACAGAATGTGGCAGCACCAGACACACCTTTGGTGGTCCTGTGACAGGTGATCCTTTGTAATCGACACGATCACCAGTGTGGAGGTGACCTCAGTGCTCCTGTCACTGGCTGTTACTGACAAAAGTGCTCATGACCATGTGTAAGGAACAGGGACCATTGTCACCTAGAGGCTTTGGTGAGCTGCCTGGGGACAGTGAGGTGGGTCAGAGGTCACAGGAGGAAGAGGTGAAAGAAATCCATGACACAGAGATTGGGATGGATGTGTTCACAGTGACAGGTGGGGTGTTGTTAAAGGAAAACATCAAGGACACCTGATCCCCCAGGGCTCACAGCAGTGGGAGCTGTGACCACCCCTGGGCCCAGGGCACAGGGACAGGGAGGCCTCACCGGGGCCTGGAGGAGGCAGCTGGGCTCAGGGAGGGGCATCTCCCTGGGGGACAGGGGGGTCAGCGCTGAGCCTCCTCTCCTCCCTCCTGCCCGTGTTCAGCCTGCACCTCCCCTTGGCCAAACCCAACAGTAGCCAGAGTCCAGGGGCCCAGGGACGCTGTCCATGGAGGACTGACTCCTGGGCCAGAGGGGGTGGGGCAGGGGGAGGGGACCCCAGAGCATGGGGAGCCCCCGCCTGGCCCCGAGCACAGAAGGGACATGGTGTCTGACGTCACACCAGGCACTTCCTCTGCCTGGCCTGGGGCTCAATGTACCACTCACTTGTCTTATTCCACCTCAGAGATTAGTGTTTTACCCCCATTCACAGACAGGGAATTGAACTCAAGAGATTCTGTAGCTGGTGTCTGTGGAAAGAGAGACTGTGCAGAGAAGGATGTCACCCAGCTCAGGGGGCAGAGCCAGGGCTGACACTTCAATTCATGTGACTGCACAGCACAGGGGGGCAGGGACATTTGGGGGACGCAAACAGAATAAAGTTGGCACCAACGCTGCTCAGTCCCCTTCCTCACCAACCACAAGACACCTGGGGATGTCTCAGCATGGCTGAGGGTCACATGCAGGGCAGGCTGAGGGCCCCAGGCTGTGGACTTGGCCTCCTGCCCAGACCCAGGCCCTGAAGGCTGAGGCTCTGAGGTCTGGGCACCATGGCTGACCCACGCCCTCTGAACCCCTGCAGTGGACCTGTTCCTGGACCCAGACACGGCGCACCCCCGCCTCCGTGTTTCTGTGGACAAGAGGAGCCTGCAGTTGACAGAGACACGGGAGGACCTGCCAGACAACCCCGAGAGATTTTCTGAGAATCCCTGTGTGCTGGGCTGTGAGAGCTTCATGTCAGGGAGACATTTCTGGGAGGTGGACGTGGGGGACAGGAGAGACTGGTGTGTTGGGGTTTGTAGGGAGAATGTGGAGAGGAAATCTCCTGTTAGATTGAGACCCGAGAATGGATTCTGGGGAATGAGACGGTCTCATGGGGGTGACTACCGAGGTCTCACGGACCGTCAGACCAAACTAACAGTTGCCCACCCTCCTGAGAGGGTGGGGATTTTCCTGGACTATGAGCTGGGGGAGGTCTCGTTCTACAACGCCATCAATGGGTCTCACATCTTCACCTTCCCACGCACCTCCTTCTCTGGGCCTCTGAGGCCTATTTTCGGGATTTGGACTTTGGACCCCAGACCCTTGACCATTTGCCCAGCTCAGAAAGCAGTGGGAACGTCTGTTGTGCCTGACCCAGGACCTGACCCTTCCCTGGAGACCCCAGTGTCCCTGGGCTCAGCTGAAGGGAATGGGGACCCTCAGGCTGAAGAAACGTCTCTGCTTCTCGCTGCCCAGCCTGGAGCTGAGAGCATCCTGAACCACAAAATATCTCAACAGGAAATCACTTACTACAAACACACTGAGGGAGGGACTTCACTAACACTCATTCAATGTTCCCACATGAGATTAAGCACACAAGGGGCAGAAAGAGTTAGCTTTCCAAAGGTCACTCGGCCAGCTCTAAACAACCAGAGCTGACATTTATAGGTGACTTCACATGTACTGGTGCTGTGCTAACTTCTTCAGGTGACTCTCACTCAGTGATCCTCACACCCACCTGTGGGAAGCTGCAAATTCAATTTCCTTTGTCATTCATCCAAAAATAGTGCTGCTGGATGGTGTGCATTCCCTGCCCCTCCCCCACCTGGGGTCTGTCCCTTTGCAGCCCATTGTTCCTGTTCGGCAGGGTCATGGGCAGCCGTGAGGGTCCCTCCCATGGCACCAAGGGTAAAAGTCATTGCAGGTGACTATGAAGGCCACAGCCCTCCTGGATCCCTCAAGGTCAACTGTCAGGGCCATGGTCCACCCCTTCACTGACTGGCTCTGCAGGACACCGTGGTCCAGAGGATTAAACCCACCACAAAGAAAACACACCCTAAACCAGCCTGTGACCTGTGAGCACAGAGGAGACCCAACCTCCTACCTCACACCTGAAGGGCCTCTGTGAGCAGGACTGTGGGAGGAAGGGGGCAGGTGGGCGTCCGTGGAATTTTTATCACACGGTGGGGTCCATGTCCAGACCAGGGACACCCACCGCTGATCACCCACTGAGGTTCCTGTCACCTGTGGGTCCTGGGGAAAGGCCACTCTTCCTCATCATTGTCATCACTGTGACTGTTCATGATGGGTCCCCTTCCCCTCGACATGTGGGTGTCATGTCACATTTGTTAAATAAATTTGTGAATAATCTTTGAGCTTCAATGGAGGTCTTTCTAGATTCATGTCCCACAGTTAACTCACCTGTTCCACAATTTAGCTCCTTGGCACACTTTTACCAAATCCTCGTTGTCATGGTCTTGTATTGCTGCTGTGATGAACAAGCACACAGTTCATGGACTAATACAACACACATGTATCATCTCACACGTCTGTAGGTCAGAGGTCCAGCATGGCTCTCGCTAATCTGAAGGCAGGTGCAGCAGGCTGGGTCCTTTCTGGGGGACCCATGGATGAGTCTGCGTGGCTGACTCTGATGGCTGCCAGGGCTGAGTGTCCTGCAGTGACGGGACCCAGGTGCCCTTCTTGCTGCTGTCAGAAGAGCTGAGACCACTCCAGGGTGGGAACAGCTGGGGTCATTCTCACAGGGACAGATGTGGGGGAACAAGTCAGGTGAAGGGAATGATGTGGGGTCAGAGGTCCAGTTGTGGAGTCACTGCTGGTGGGGCTGTTGCACGTGAGCTCACTGCAGCATCAACTGCCCCCCAAAGATATTTGTTGAGCATCTCCTCTACCCTGACAGGGTGGCTTTTCCCTAGCCCAAGGCCAAGTGAGTGGGTGTGTCCCACTGAGCTTGAGAAGCACAGGGACCTCAGCGGGGCCATGAGCAGGGGAGAAGGTGGAACCCCACGAAGTGTGCCCCTGCTGCTTCTCAGAGATCTCTAAGGGTCCTCGTCTGTCATGTGCATTAGGATTAGACATTTTGGACTATTTGTCTGTTCCCAGGTGTAGGGTCTAAGCCCCTCATTGAGATGCAGGGCCACGCAGATTGGGGCATCTGGCTGGAGTGCACCTCCACAGGGTGGTACCCACAGCCCCGTGCAATGTGGGGGACCCCTATGGTGATATCCTGCCCGCCCTGGAGGAAGCTCACACCGAGGACACAGATGGCCTCCACAGGGTCACCATGACCGTGATTATCCAGGACAGGTCTGTGAGGAATGCATCCTGTTTGGTGAACAACACCCTGCTGGGCCAGGAGAGGGACACTGTGGTCTTCATTCCAGGTTAGTTCCCTGCCCTCTGGGGGGCTGTCCCTTGGAGGTAGTAGGACCCTCAGCAGACACTTGGAGCCTGAGTGGGGCTGGGGGAGGGGCAGGGCTGGGAGGGTCCTGGGCCCTGAGGAGCTGAGGCTGCAGCTGAGCTGAGGCCTCTCCCCTCCTCACAGGGAGCATCACAGTCTCCTGTCCCAGGAGGAGGAGCCTCCTCTCTGAGGGCCAATCTGATCGTTTTTCCCTCCTGTGGTCCTGATGCTGCAGCTGTTTGTGTGTTCAGAACAGTCACACACCGTGGAGCGTGGTGGGGGCAGGGGGCTGTGTGCACCTGGTGCTGCTGATGCTGAGGCCTCCCCTCCTGCCCGTGGGGTTTTCCAAAGATGGAACTGGGACAGTCAGTATCTACAGAAGTTCATAAAGTCACTCAACAAACACTTAGCAATGATCACATATGTTCTAGGCACTGTTCTAGAAACAGGAGATAAATCAGTAAAAATATACATGAAGATCCCTTCACTCATGGGGCTCTCCTGCTAGAAAAGCAAAGTGTATCTACAAAACAACTAAGCCAGGAGTAAAATAATTCATTAAACTAATATGGTAGAAGGTGAGAAATGCTGTAGAAAAATTAATTGGGAAAGGATACATGGAGGCTCAAAGCAGGGGAGCAGTGATGGAACTGGAGGGTGAGGGAGGCTTCACTGAAAAGGTGGCACCAGGGCAAGTGAGGGACGAGCAGGAGGAGCAGGAGGAGCAGGTGCCCAGGGCCTGAGGCAGCAGCAGGTCTGGAAGTTTCCAGGAACCCGACAGGCAGGTGTGGGTGGAAGGACTGAGTGCAGGGGGAATGGGAGGAGGGGAGTGCAGACCTGGAAGGGGCCCAGACCAGAGGGGTCAGAGCAGGTCACAGGGAGCCTTTGGCTGAGTCTCAGTGAGGCAGGAGCCATGGCTGGGGTTGGAGCAGAAGCAGGAAGGAGGGTGGTGCAGTAACCAGGCCACAGTGATGGTGGCTCAGGGGGGCTGGTGACAGTTGTTGGTTTTTTTCATCCCGGTCCTTCCAACAGTGACTGCAGGTGCGTCTGCTCTTTTGCCTCCTCAGCCCTGTCAACTGACAAAACCAGAACTGTTCAGTGACCCGCTGACATCCTTTGTTTAAGGGAAAGCCACCCATGGATTAGGGGGTGGTTACAGGGCCTCACATTGAGAGGACCGTCTCCCTGAGGGGTTTGGGGCAAAAGCAAGGAGTACAGAGGAGGGAGCCGACATCACTGACTAGGGGGTCAGGGTTTCCTTGTCAGGCAGCAGGTCCCCTGTTCTGAGGGCAGGTGAGTGGCCTGAAGCGCTTTCGTGGGATGGGGGAGCGAAGAGAGTCTTTGGTGTTTAAAGCCAGTTTGGAAAGTTTCCAACTGCAGAGTCCCCAAGATCATATGACTTGAATAGAAAAATGTTCGAGCAGGTCCTGAGAATAAGGAAACTGGGAGACGTTCATTTCAGCTCCTTTACTAACTCTCTGCTCACTCAGGGCCCAGGAGTCCTCTCCCTGAGGCCCCGCCCCCTACTCAGCAGGTGGAGGTGCAGCCTCAGGAATCTCCTCTGTGAGCTGCCTGGGGGCTGGGATCAGGGGCCTTCATGGAGGTCCCACCCCATGGAGGTTTCCTCCAGCTTCCTGGGACCCCAGGACACCCAGCCGTCACCCTGATACTTCCTGTGTGGCTGACGTGCTCCTGGACACAGACGCCACTGACCCAGAGCCCTTCCTGTCCCAGGACCAGAGGAGGGTGCTCGGAGCTCCTCCAGGCAGATTCTGCCCGACCACCCTGAGAGATTGGGCTGCCGGCCATGAGTCTTGGGTGTGGACAGTCCCTCAGGCAGACAGGACTGGGAGGTGGCTGTGCAGAGGGTGACACTGTGGCTGTGGGGTCTGCGCAGACCGTGTGCAAAGGAAGGGGGAGGCCCCGCTGGTCCCTCAGAATGGCCTCTGGGCCCTGGAGCTGTTTGGACACAGGTGCGTGGTCCAGTCCTCCCTGGAGAAGACCCTTCCCCTGAAGGAGCGCCTTCACCGAGGGGCCATCTTCCTGGTCTAGGAATCTGGAGATGTCTCCTTCTCTAACATGTGGGATCGGTCCCGCATCTGCACGTGTCCCCGCTCACAATTTTCTGGGCCCAGAGGCCCTTCTACAGTCTGGGTTCTGATGACAGTCCCCTCTTCATCTGCCCAGCATTCACTGGGGTACAGGGGGTCACTGTGCCTGAGGGTGGCCTGGTTCTCCATGGAGCATGGACCCTCCACAGCCACCAAGGCCAGCTTCCTGGTCTCAGAGCACAGGAGAGAAGCCCTGGCCATCTCTGCTCATGCAGCACAGCACCCAGAGGACTCAGCCCCTCCCCCCAGGCACAGCAGAGAACCAGGTCTGGGACCCCCATCTAGTCCCAGCCCATGCCCCCTCAAGCTGTTGCTTTAGCAGCTGGTGAGCTTGTCCCCACAGGGCAGGGGTCAGACTCAGCGGAGACCCAGTGTTTCCTGTGACTCCCAACCAAGGAGAATGTGGGACAGTGACAGGCTGATATCCTCCTGCTCTGACTTCAGGGTGACCTGTCACCATGGGACCTGAGGTGACACCAGACACTGTGGACTCAGGGTGAGGACAGCAGGATGCACCAGACCTGAGGGGTGAGGGACCACATTGCAGGTCAGAGGTAGAGGAAGGGGGACCGAGAGCTGGGAGGGCCCAGGCTGTGGGCGTGGTGGCCCCACCCTGACAGCCAGGGGTCCAGCACCAGAAGCTCCATCCCTAACTCCCCCAGATTCCAGCCCTCACAGCAGAGCTCCAGGTGCAGACAGTGACAGACAAGGACAGAAGGATAATGGACAAGGACATCCCGGATCTGGTCTGTGTCAGGTGTCCCTGCAGTAAATCTTCTCAGTCAGTGAGGATGGATCCAGGTTCAAGGTCTTGGCTGAGCAGATGAGTGTGAACAACTTTCATTCAAGGTCGGGGTCAGTGGGGAGGCCAGCAGTTTGCAGCTTCTTATTCTCAGGATGCATTGAAAACTTCGGAATTACCGAGCTCCCTGAAGACTTTATGCTCATTCACTTACATCTGACAATATTTACTTATTGGACTGAAAAAGTTTGAAGACATATTTATTTATATACACTTAAATGCTAGTGATTAACTGATCACATGCTAATGTAAATACCATGTTTTGTGAAAAATAGGTTATTTGGAAAGCAAAATTAATGCTACGGCATTGTTCAATTTGTAATGTCTGGTTTAATAGAAGGCTGGATGCTTGTAACAGTCAGTGTGAGAACGTGGAACCCTGTAGGCAGTTTCTATGAGAGTTAATTTGAGGAAAACTGACCTCATTGTGAAGGAGAAGGTCTGAATGGTCTGGGGAGTGACAGGTGTGCAGCTTCTCTCTGTGTGTGGACTGAGGGGGGACGTGAGGATGCCGGGAAGGAGAGAGAAAGGAGAGGAAACAAGACCCTGAGCTCCTTGGAGGGCAATCACTCTCTCCAGGGTCTGAAGAACAGGGTGACTTCTGGCCTCTCAGATGTAGGTTAATCCAGGTGCCTGAAGACAGTGGACAGGGTTTGCTTAAGGTGAGGAAAACCTCTTACTAAAGAGGTATCA